AAAACATTACAAAGCTCTTGACATATCATATTTCATACATTTGATTCAAGTGGGTTATGAACTCCCATTTTTACCCCATATACAGATTGCAGAATCACATTGGCTACACATCCATGTTTTCACATATTATTTTGAACACGACCTCACCCTCTGAAGTTTTGTTGAGAAATTGACATGAAGGAAATGCCCTGAGTCGTCTCAGGATTACACCCACATTCGGAGAGAAGTGGAGAGCTGGTATGAGTTGCCAGAGAGCAAATAATCCAGAAAAAATGTAAGTGCAGAATTCTTATAGACCAGTGCTCCAGGTCAGAACCTCAACAAACAGGACACATGGCTCCAAATGTGAAGGCGCTAATGCTGAAGTGTGAAAAGAACTGCCTGTGGCATCCTGATAAAAGTATAGGATACACATCATGTTGTGATGGGACCGCAGAACAGGACACTTGTAATTGTTGAAGATAAAGCAGCATAGAGAGCAGTTGATCAGACACAGTGCAAGAGACCCCTCCTTCACCAACTTGAGACATGGGGAAAAAAGTGACAGAACGACAGACCCTAGACCTGAGATCACAGTTCGGAAGGGACAAGAAAGATGCATCAGATTGCGAGGAGCTGGATGCGAAGAAGAATTGAACCACATCATGTATCAATCAATCAAATGGATCAGAGCTGCCTGCTACACACCAACAAGTTAAAAAGCCATCACAAAGCAAGGAAGGGAAGGAGCCTGGCACGTGTATGGAGGAATGCTTAGATGAGTACATTGAAGAGGAGACGGACAGAGATGAAAGGAACTGGAGGACACAGGGCATGCATGGAGTAAAGCTGGCACATGTCTCAGATGCACAGAATCCAGCACATGAAACAGAAGGCATTCAAAGCATAATAAAACCATTCTTCTTAAATAAGAACAAAGTATTGAGATCAAAAAGCACAGTGGTTTCAGAAAAATTATTAGAAAATGACAAAGACTGAGGCTTATTCTGGGTGATAAGTGAGATTGAAGGGGGACAGGTCAAGAACTGGGGAGCATCTGAGGTCTCACCCCACTGCAGCTGGCCACAGTTTCACAGAGCCTGAGAGAAAACACACCTTTCTGGGTTGGAGTCAAAGGGCTTTATTCTATATATCACCATGAGATGTATGAGCATCTCGGTGTGAGCATGGTGGCCTGGCTCTGAATCTCACAGAGCCATGTGATTGGTGTGAGATGAGGACAGGAGGGACAGGAGCCAGTGCCCTCCACTCTGGGGACTGGTGAGACATTGGCGGTGATGATGTACTCTCCTGGAGCGACTCCGTTTCCCACACATGCACAGAGACTGCCTGGTATTAGGGGACAGCGATGACACACACTCTGACACTCTCAGCAAGGACATGCAGGGATGCTCAGGGTCCACACTGGACGACCTCTCAGCAGCACCCTCCTCATATTAAGGGAGAGAAGTAAAAACTAATACTCCAGATGTCTGTCCAGCAGCGTACGATGCTTACGAGTAAAAACACTGGAACTTTTCCCTAGGGAAAGAGGTCTCTATATCGAGCCAACGAGCTGTTCATGTACGAGGGCAACAGGGGATCCTCACAGGTTTGAAAGAATTCTGGGACTGTGCAGGCAATGAGCCCTGAGCGGGTGAGGAAAACCTTGACCATGGCATTCAACCTTGAAAGAAAATCCTGCAGGGAAAAACACTATCTAATTCCAGAGCCCATGATGGTGATGTGGTGTGTACAGGGTCTGAGAAAAGAAAGTGGGATTCACTGGTTTTATACCGTTAAAGGTGTCCTGAAAATATAAGGGCAATCAACCAACATTCTCAATCATTCACAAATTTGGAAAACAGTTTTCTTAAGGACTGTTCCATAAGAAAAACAATAAATGGACAATTAACCAGTCAACCAAATAATATGTTAAAATAAAGATAATTCATTCTCTGTAAACTAACACAGGCTGAGCATCCATAATCCAAAAATCTGAAATCTAAAATGTTCCCTATCCAAAAGTTTTTGACGCCACAGGAGAGAAATTCCACACCTGGCCTCGTATGACAGGTCACAGTCAAAATGCATGTGCACCAAAAGTATTGTATAAAATTACCTTTGGGCTATTTGTATAAGGTTTACACGAAACTCGAGTGTCGTTTAGACTCGGGTTCCATCTCCAAGAGATCTCACTACCGCGCAGGCAGACATTCCCAAGTCTGCAAAACACCGCTTTCCAAAACACCTTGGGTCCCGAGCATCTCGGATGAGAGAGATTTCAACGGCTGTTCATTCATGAAATGTTGATCTCTAGCACAGACGCAGTGCTGTTCCATCCTGTGCCCATTATGGAGTGGATTTAGAATGTCCCCCAAAGCCCATGGGTGCCCAGCCTGGGTCACTACTGGGAGGTGGTGGAGTCTTTAAGGGTGGGTCTGAGTGGAGGAGGTTAGATCACGTGGTGTGTGCCCGTGAAGGGGTACTGGGCCCTGGCCCCTTCCTGTCTCTTTGCTGTGCAGCTGTGGCAAGGTGAACAGGCCCCTCTGACTCTCTCTCCCACCATGATGCCCTGTGCCGCCACAGGTCCAAGCAAAGGGCCAAGTGACCATGGACCCAACCTCCAAAATTGTGACTCAGAATAAACCTTTCTCCCTTTAAGGTTTTCATCTCAGCTCTTTGGTCACAGCCACAGAAAGCTGAGGAGCATGAGGCTTTCTGATACCTGCTCTGGTCCCAGCACTGCCATGAATTTTCTCTCCGGCCAAAATAAGGGCACTCACTTACTTTTTTTTTTAAATAATCAAAGTATGTTATTATAGAAAGACAGCTTTTCTCCTGCCAGCACTTACCGTCCCCCTGGCAGAACAGAGGTCCCAGCGTATACACAGCTTCAGAGGGTGGTCGGCCCCTGTCCGTCATCACCACTTGAATGACTGGCAGGTACTCCTTCTGGGAAAAGACTGTGACGTCACTGGTCCTGGAAAACAACAAAGGGACCCTTAAGATGACTCCAGTTGACACACACACACACACAGAGTCACCTGTGATCTCTTATTTGAATCTAACATTTCAGGACTTAATGGAACACTTACAAACATTTTTGGCATTTTGAGAGCACAGAAACTGTTAAAAATTGAAATCAAAGTTTCTCTGTACATGATTGTGACTTTGCAGGCCACGTAGCCTCTGCGACTACTCAGCTCAGCCACAGGCACTAATGATGGGCATGATTGTGGGGTGATCAAAATTTATGGACACTGAAATTTGAACTTCGTAACAAGTTTGATGTGTCATAAAACACTCTTCCTTCCAACTACTTAAAAATGTAAAACATTTCTTAGTTCATGGGCCAGACAATAACAGGTGAGTGGGCAGATGTGACTCAGCAGTAGTTTAGCAACTCCTGATCCATTTGCCAATTCCTGAACTCACCGAACACAGAGAATAAAAGGGGCAAATCAAGGGGGGGGGTCATTTTGCAAGCACGGGATAGTATTTTCAGGATCATCAAGCATATAACTGCTCTTTAAAAATTAGTCTCAGGATACTACTCAAGTGATTATCAATTACAGATATAAATAGTTACAGATTTAGATCTTCACAGAATTTTACCATTAAATATTTGAAATCCTCTTATGGATATTGGGTATATCTTCCCTCAATAAATTTGTAAATTGTAAAATTAAACCTACAGAGCAAAATGAATTAAATAGAATACCTTTATAAGTAATACACAGGTTAATGTATGTGAAAGTTCTGTGAAATGCTGAACCCAGCTATCCAGTGGACAAACATGGATCAGACCCTGAATGAGGCATTGAGGACACATGGGAAAAATACCGTGTGTGCCCCCGAGTACACAGCCCCCTGGGCACTAGGTTCCAACCATAGTTATGGCCATCAACATCTTCCTATGTGTGAGTGACTGAGAAATACAAGCAGGTCTGGAGCAGGTGCTGGGAGGGCCTGGGGTCCTGGTCACAGCTGTGCCACTCCTATTCTCTCTGTCCAAAATAATGGCATTAATCTCTTCTTTTGCAACCTGGTTATGTTTATTTTGTGTCACTCAACTGTATACGTAATCTGATTCAGAGACAAAGCACCCTTACTCTGGTTCCTCATCCTGCTCTAGAATCTCTATAGAATCTCATAAATACTCTTGTCCTTAAGTCACTCGTTTCTAAAACCTTCCTTGGCGTGGATTGATGGCCAAAGATCAGAATAATTAATATCAAATCATGTAAGTCCTTTCATAGTGGCAAAAATAAAGTTTTCGTAAATTTTTATTAAAGACTTTAGGTATCAAAGCTTGAAATTGGAAAAGACAGAAATAAAAGAAAATGGCTATATTAAGATTTTCATCATGTAAATAAATGAAGTAATCTGTAATGCATAAAAGAGATATCAATTAATATAAGTCAGGTACTCTGCAATATGTGAAATATTTAGTGATACAGAAAGATTATTTCTCATATCCAGACTAACATCCCATAACCTTACCTAGTTATTGATGTCTGGGCAAAGAACAGAGCATGAGTTATGAATTGTCACCATCATTTAGCTCTGGAGTGGACTGATGGTTGACAAGCAGAAATGTTCTCCTAGGAAACAGGGTAGGTCAGCTTAGGAGACTGTGTATGGACACAGCAGGCATCAAAAACAGCATTTCCATGCTGGTGATCACCATCTCATCAAGGTAGTCTAGTAGGGGAGCTGTACTTTTATGAGCTATTTATGAAGGATGCTGGAATTTTAAAAACTCATTTTGCATAGAAGCTCCAAGCTTCTTGATGTTTAACGCTACATGCAAAATACTGAGCTTGTGTAAGGTGACAGCTTGTGTAGGGCACCTCAGTTGCATTGGAGGAGATACTAAGTCTCCCCCTCCCCCATTATTTTGGAGAGCTCCCAGTCAATCATAAAAAATGGCTAACGTTTTTCATCAATTTTTTGTTGGTATAGGCAGATCTCAGCCTTTGCAGATTTATATAGATGATTGAAGATTTGCCATGGTTACCAGACTTCCTTAAAATTTCTTCAGCAACTGGGACTTGTTTTTTTATTTCTTTTTTCCCTATTATTTTCTGAAATATATAGTACAGGTAAAATAGTCCTAATTTGAAAACCTAAAATGGGAAAACCTCTAAAATATAAAACATTTTGAGCCCCAACATGATGCCATGGGTGGAAAACTCCACTCAAGACCTCTTGTGATGGTCAAAGTCAGAATGAAGATACATTAAAAATATTGTAGGAAGGTCCCTTTAGGCTGTGTGTATACAGGGTTCAGACTTGAGTTTCATCCCTGAGATATCTCATTAAGTATTTGCAAACATTCCAGATTCTCCAAATCCAAAATCTGACACACTTCTGATCCCAGGCATTTCAGATAAGGAATACTGAGCCTCTAGGTAGTGTGAACATGGGAAGAGTGTATTTCTAGATATGATAACGTATTCCAGTAGTATTAAAAATTCAGTAAGAGAACTTTCAAAGACTTTTTGCTTGAAAGTTACCATTGTTCTAGAAATTATGCTTTCCTAAGAAATGCCATGACTTCTAAGAACTACTATTAATTGTTTACCAAGAGATTTGATTTGATGCAAAGTAGAGCTATACATTTGGGGGGTTGTTGAAAAAGCCAAAAAGGAAAAATGTTGAGTCCACCTCAACATTTAATAACTAGGTTAGTAATAAAA